ATTCACTGTTTGCGCAGGTCAGGTTTCCTTCTTTCCAGATCAGACTTATGATTCAAATTTTTACTGCATATTCGTGGTGGTCGCTACTTACGAAGGATCTCTATTTCCGAAAATTACCAATTCGCTTCTGACTGCTCAGCATATTTCAGATGTCTAATGTTTATCCAGCCTGTACACCCGTTTTGCGAATCCAAAAATCTTTCAGATTCCAACAGTCCGAGGGATCAGTAGCTACTTGGAAATGACGGGTTTCGTTCATATCGGTTTCAAAAGTTTGATTTTATCTTGTTCAATGATCTTAATTATGCAGACTGCTGTTTTTTTCATTTTTTTTTAATTTCACAGCCTGCGGCGACCTCAGTACCAGCTCGCTAAGGATCGGTACTCTCCTATCCAGTGACCCACTCACCTCCCTCCCACTCTCCGCCCCCCTTCATAAGTCTTAAGTCTGATTGTCTAAACAGCTTCTTTTTCTTTATTAGTTCTTTTTATTCCTAGTCTGGGCGCTTAGGATTAGTTACGGCAGGTTAAAGTAGAAATTAAGTCTCCAGATCTGAACCATGTTTCTAAAAGATACTATAAAAGTTAAAGGGTATAGAGAAATAAGAGTAGATTTGATATGTGGAACTTGGTGTGATTTATGTAAAGAAAAACATTTGTACTGATAATAGCACCTAGATGAAGAAGCCTCAACATTTTCAAACTTCCTTTTCTATGATGATCTAAGATGAAGTTATCCTGTGAAGATGCATTCTAATTTGCTGGTTTGATTTTATTAGGAGAATATGGATCTGTGACCTTCCCTAACATTTACTACAATTCAGAGAGATTTGGAGAAATATGTGAGCTAAATGTCTCTCTTGAATCTACAAATAAAACACAGTCAGTGTCTCCAGCAAAAAGCGCAGCTCGATTCAGAGACCAGCAGGCAAGCGAGCCATTGGGGTGGACATTAACCCCACATTAGTAGGCTCTTATGAAGTCTTATTATCATCTGTTTTGGTACTTGTTGATGTATTCATGTGCTAGATTATCCCTTTTATTTTTAGGTTTCTTGCACGTTTCCTTGTACCAGCAAGGTGAGTGGTCTCTACTTGGTCACGTGGAGGTTTCAGAGCCAACACCAGTTTGGAACACTTTAAGCATTTGTCCAACTGGTTTGACCGATAATAAAACCACAGAAGAGAAGTTGTTATCAGTGGTGGGAAACGACAATGGGCTTTCTTTCACAGTGCAAATAGCCGAAGGTGCATCAGAAATTGCGCTTGATGAACCACACACAGTCAATGTCCATGGAGATGAGGTGAGCGTGTTCCAATTCATTCCACCTCAAGGAATCTCTGATAAACAACTGGACATCACTGCTACGTCTGAATCAAAAGTTGCTGCCTATTTGAAGGTATCGCAGAACTGTAAAGAGGTCGATCTCCAGGAAGACCTCAAGAGCATAGACTACAAGAAGGAATCTCTTCGTCTTTCCTTCGCAACAAAAGGACGTATAACTTTATCCAGAGTTTCCATTCCCCCTCTGACCGATTCCGTCTCCAGATGGTTCATTGGAATTGGTCTGAAGAACTTATCAGGTGACGTCAAACTTAGTGAGTCAAAAAATGTCACTTTAAAGCTGACAAGGTCGTTTGATTATAATTATGCCACGCCTATTTGTGTCCTAGTTTTTGTATCATTTGTGGTTGGTATATTAGTGTCTATCTTTGCGTATTTTCTCTTCGAAGAGTCTCTTACCAAGGTCAAGGTTGGTAAAGGTAAACAGGGCAATGATAATGTTGAGCAAAAAATTTCACGTTGCGACCTGTGGGAGGTAATCATAGATCACTGGTTTTCCTTTGGTCCAAAGACCTATTCCTACCTCACAGGTACTGTGGGTGCTGTGCTTATGGTAGGTGCTTTTCAGTTCGTGTTTGCAAACTGGGATACAATGATTCAGGAAGAGTTGGAGATCATGATATTCCGTTTAACTTGATGATAAGTAACTTGACTTACATAGTCCACGGCCTAATCTTAGTTGTGTGGGTACTGATACTGGAAACCAAGGTGAATCTTCGTTGCAAAAGTAGAGCCGCCAATGTTCAGGGATCCAGGCTACCAGAACATATTCTGTCATGTCCTGAAACTAACATTCATCATTTGGAGGGAGGTATTCCAAAACCCGAAAACCCCATGGAAACGGAAGAAAGGAAAAAAAAGGAGAAAGTTTTTTTTGCCGAAGCAATGAAAAAGAGGTACTGTTTTTCTATTGGGTATGCGTTTTCCTGGGGACTAGTCTTCCAGGGATTATTTTCCACCCTTTACCACTTCTGTCCAAGCAGGTTCACATTTCAGTTCGATTCGGCCTTCATGTTTATCATAGCTGGTTTAACTGTGCTGTTGTTGTATAATGGCATTGAGCAGAATCGTTGTCCTCCTCTGGAAATGCGAAACACCCAGTTGACGCTTCTAACTTCTTCCTTTTTTTCGTTGTGCCTCTTTTTATTTTTAACTACTTTGGTGTGCTATTTAACTCCGATTCTGGGCTCAACAAAGTAATGCAGGGGTTTTTTTTTACATTCCTGATCATTTGGTGGCTTTTGATGGTTATTTGGGCTTTTCGTATATTAGATATCGACGAAAAGATTCGTGGTGACCGTAGAGATAAATGTGATGCGTTTTTATTTCTTTTGGGTGGCCTGATAGTGCCTTGTGGGATTTTTATCTCTTTACTGTTTAGCGATCTGGCTCAAATGTTTCTGTTTGCATGCATTTCCTGTAGCTTCGTCGCAATCCTAGCTAAATCTACGCTTTGGGAGAAGCTTTGCAAATGCAAATGCAAGTGTGTTTGCGATTGTAATTATTCAGTCAAGGTCATTTTACAAGGTCTTTTCATCTCTATCACCATTTTAATTTTGGTAGCAGCTGTTAAGCGTTTTCGAATACCGACCCACCACAAACACAACATCGACGCCAGAAAACTCTCGTGACGGAAACGAAGAATGTGTTATTTTAGGATTCTTCGACTGGCATGACCTGTGGCATTTTTTATCTTCCTTTGCTCTCCTTATGGGTGCGTTTGTTGTCATGTTTATAAGTTCTGAACCTGAGCAAAGCCTGCAGGCTGAAATACGAAAGCATAATGAGCCAGAAGCAGAAGGGAAAAGGATGGTATGATAGGCTTAAACGCGAGGGAATAATGAGCCAGAAGCACAAGGGAAAAAAAGGGAAGAAACTCCCAATAAGAGGATTTTTCAATCGAGTTTCAATAGTGAGCCGAGATAGCATCATCTTTGCTTTACTTCGGTCTATAATTGCAAAAAGAAAGTCAATCGTGTCTTGTTCGCCCCCGAATTCCTGCGCTTTTAGTATTTTACCTGTTTTACTCACACTTATACACTCCTTTATTATATTATATTGTCCTGCTTTCACTTTTAGCACCTTTTGTAGGCTCAGTCTCAACATGTGGTTCCCATACCTTGGTAATGATAAGAGGGCTAGTGGGAATAACGCATGATAAAGTTAAAGGGCATTCTAAAATTGAAATGGAAGCATGGGGTAAATATAGTTAGTGAGGAATATTGGGATACCCTAAACTCTATCTTTATTTCAAAAACCGAAACTTTTTTACAGAGAATTATGAGATGTCTCTTTCTGCTCTCAAACTTGTTAAAAGCAGGATAATCAAGTCAATCAAGAGAATTATTTACAAGCTGAATGTAAATAACTTGCTTTTAAAGCTAACATTTAGCTATTTTCATAACTTACTGAAACCAAGACTTAATCATGTGATTAAATGATCCATGTAGTAACTTAGCTAGCATTATAACCAGCTGGAATTTGTAAACGAAGTATACTGTATTTGCGTTCTTATATCAAGGAATAGAGAGCCGTAACAGTCATTTGTAATTGTCATGAACGTTCGTGAAGGTATTTGTAAACTTTTTAGATTGTTATCTTAATATCTTTAGAGTTAGAGACAATCTTTCACATGTAAGAATTTGCCATTTCCGCACGTACTTTGGATCAACCAAGTCAATTTATTTAAAGCGACATCTTTGATCAAGACAGCGAAAAGGGCCATTTAAGAAACGGAAAAAAAGAAAACGCAATCGAGAGGCGTGGTAGTTCTTTTTAAAGCGAACCTTTCCTAAAATATTGGCCACCAATAGAAAGTGAAACATATCCGTCCTAGAAGTTCTAATCTAGATTATACATGTAATACTAGTATACAAGTTTATTTCAGTATTATGTCAGTTTAACGATATTTTCGCTTTAACTAAAGTTTAGAAGAAAAATACAAGATTCTGGAATGAACAGTGCGTGGGATTGGTTATTCGTGGAGAAGGGAACAGAGAGTGAGTCAACATATCTGGTATTTGATTGGTAGAGCTATTTCCACCCGAGTGTCGAAAGTACTTCGGGATCTTGCCTTAACTCTGTTTTTATTCGCTCTATGATTGGCTCAGCTCAGAACACTCCTGTCACTCTTTCAGCCACCAATATGATACAAAACCAAAAAAGCAGTCGTAATTTGCAGGTCACTTGTGTTTTCCTGCGCTTCAAACAATCTGCATTGCATTACTCCAGGCTCTTGATGGTTATGGCCATATTTCACTTTGCTCTGGTTGCGAATCGTTTTGGTTTAAGGCCACCTAGTTGAAATGTCTTCTATGAAGGCACCAGTGGCCAATATCGGATTTGGACACTAGTGGCCAAGATTGGATTTTGAACACTAGAGGCCAAGATTGGATTTTGGACCCTAGGAGCCAATATTGGCTTAAGGACACCAGTCGCCTATTTTAGATTTTGGACACTAATGGCCGATCATCCATTTTGGACACTAGTGGTCAGGCAATGAGACGAATGGTTCGCAAACTTGGATAATTCGATAAACCAAGCTACACGTTCAGAAGTGTATCATACACAGTCAGAATCGGTATAGATCAAAATTTCACACAATCCCCTTCCAAATATTTAAGCTACAAGTAAGACTTCCAAAAAACACCGATGGATTAAATTTCAAGATGCTTTCTATTTGTCAGAACAAGAAATTCCGTCCTTTCAGCTACGCCGGATAGAAGTCCAATTTCTAAGGTAAAGGAAAAGCAGACCCTATCTCTCACTCCACAATTTCTTCCCTCTCTTGTGGAGGTTTGTTATCAGAATGAGATTTACAAGATGACTTCTACTTGTCAAGACAAGGTAGTCTGTCATTTTAGCAACGGATATAAGCCCAACATCTACGTTAATATAAAAGCATCGCAGTTTCAGTCTTAGTCCACCATTGCCTCCTTTTCATTTGAAGGAGGTTTGTTCTCAGAATACGGTCTACTTTCTACATCATCATTAAGATCTTGAAGATGTTGGTCAATCTCTTGTCGAAGAGTTAAGAGACTTGTACGGTCGAGTTCTTGTACCAAAGTAAGAACTGCAGATAAAATATTCTGACTCTGCGAGAAAAAGAGAATTTAGTTTTAACAAGACGTTTGATTTGAGAAGCTTACTGTGCGTTTACTGAAACCAGTGCCACCTATACAAAACAGTCAGATGGTATGATAGAAAGCGCAGATTTAAATCTGCCAAGGCCAAGATTTCAGTAAAAGAACTGTAAATGAGGTTGGGTGCTTTTTGGATCTCATAAAAGTCCATGATCAATGCAAGGACGATTTTAATGTTTATGTGATTAAAAAGCGCAAGAAGTGCCCGGGAAACAAAATAATGTGAGAACTACCAGTTCGTTCGAGGTATTACCTGTTTTGTTTTGTCTTTTTTTTTCTCTATGAAAACCCTTGTTCAGAGATTTTCCTTGACATACCCTAGCGTGCAAAATGCTATTGAAAAATCCCCTGACTTTCCAGCATCTTTCGCGTTCTCTTAACTTCCCGTGCGCTTCATATCTCGATGAACTCTGACGCATGAACAAATAGTTACGTTTACCCAAAACCTTCCTCATCATAACAACAGGCGAATACTTTTGTGCTTCAGTGTAGCAAATGGCGCAAATAAATAACGATTCTTAAAAATATTGAATCATTAACAGAACCAAAACTTACTCTAGGGGTGGGAGAAACTGTTACAGGCTCTGTTCGATGGGAATCTGTTGCCGCCATGGTTGTCACACCATGGGTTTGATCATCCAACATCAGTGGCTTCAGTCCTAACTGGGCTCGAAGTTTACTGACAAAAACCAAATACAATTCAGTGGAAAAAGGATAGGATTCTTACTCAAACCTCCCATATACTAGTTGGGTCCAAATGCAAAATGATTCAGGAGTGGTATTGTGAGGAGAATTTGGATTCTAGTCACTCTTAAAGGGTTACTCAGCAGTCCAGAGGCCCACCCACTTGACAAAATCACCCCTCTTAACTGCATTTCATGCAACACCATCCTGGAATTTTAAAAGAGGATTTCTACAAAGTCAAGAGTCCAGCTATTTTATGCCTTTTTATGAAATTGAGAAGACTGCATCCCAACTGTGTACAAGGACCATTGCCTGATCAAATGAGTTTACCATTCTACTTAAAAGCAATTGCCAAAAAGGCAAACCTTAAGCACTTAGGTCTGTATAGTTCTACATACTTGGTTTCATTTACTAAATTGCTTTGTGCTGATTCTGGATCACCCTTTTCTGCAGATGAAAACAAAATAGACATGCCAAAAATGAACATTAAGAAAAGCAGCTCTATTTCCAAATTTTAACCCCCTTTACCACATTGTCAATGCAATGCTTGTCCTTGATTGGATTTCCCACAATATAATTCTGTTTAACATGGTGGTGTGGCAAGTTATGAAAATACCAATTTATTCTGAATACAATGCCTGCAATATAGCCTACACTGAGTGCTTTGCAATCTTATTCACATTTCTCTGTATCATCCTGACTTTCCTCTCTCTAGAGCTTTCCAGGAAAAATTCCTACCTATGCAGATTCTGGAGAGTGAAAGATTGATTAAAATATCATCATTGAAATTGGACATTTAGCTGAACTTGTTTATGAAACCTACCTGTTGACACTTGTTGATTAGCATCCTCACTCAAAGCATTAACAGTTTTGAGAACATCCTGCAGAAAAACAGGTTAAAAGTTTAACCCTTTACACCCTAACATAGGTATCTATATTCTCCATACTTTTTTTACACATTTCCTTCAGTGCTGACAAAGAGAATTTGTTCAATAGTCAAAGCTCCTTAGGTTGTGGATCATTTTGTATATTCTCATAACCTCAGTGAATGCTCCTGCAGTATAGCTGTAAGGAGAAATTAAATGCTGGTCATTCTCAGGTAATACAGGTTAAGACTGGCATGAAAGCAACTCAGTTAGACCAGTCAATAGGTGTTACTGTACAACTATGTAAATAAATGAGTTGAAAATCAAAATTTCTATCATCACCTTTCCAACTGTGGCAGTTAATTCCAAATCATGGACAGGAATTTCATCTGGTGTTTTGATTTCGGTTCCTTCTTTGGCTGCCTCCTCCACTTCTGACTCCTCAACCACTAGTAAGACAATACACACTCAATTAATTTGAATCTCTCCTATTTCTGATTGACATTCATTGCAGAGCTTGGTTAAGACATTTCATCCTACAGTTGTGAAAATCACAATGCAATTGGGAACAATATTTCTTCAATTAACACCTATAAAGATCTTGCTATGAAATCTGATTCCTGTTTTAACCCTTTGACTCTCATGAGTTGCCAAGACAGAATTTCTCCTTACAATATCAATACAATATCAAGTATGTAAGTGATGAGAAAAAAGAAAATATCAGCTGAGGGATCATTAGTTGATCCAATAACAAATTCTCTGACATAACCTCACAAGAACTGTATGGCAGACAGTAAGGAGAATTACTAATAAGATCTTGGGAGGGAAAGGGTTAGGAAATGTTCAACATTTACCTCTGATATTGAGTATTAAGTCCCTCATTTTGCACATAGAGGAAAGGCAGGGAAAACAAAAGGAAAAAGGAGCAACAAAAGCAAACAATAGCCTCTGATGTCACTAAAACAGATATAATTTCACCAACCTACAGTGTCCAGCTTAGTGAGTTTGGGTAAATTCTTTAGAACAGTCATTCGGTAATGTTCCACATTCGCACAAGGATTGTCCGAAAGCCACAGCACTCTTAGCTTAGGAAGGTTCTTCAGACAACCTATCTCACTGATATCTTCAATGCTATTTTTCCTCAAATATAGTTCTCTTAATCTTGGACCTTCACGAAACAAAATAAGAAGAACAGAAGCAAACAATGTAGTTCACTGGAAATTTATCAAAGTTATCAGTCAATGATTAACCCTTCAACTCCCAGAAGTGATTAAAATGTAACTTCTCTCAACACTATCCATGAATTATACTAGAACTTATCAGGTACAAGTTGTTATCTAGATCTTACACCAAATTTTTATGATATATTTACAAGGAAAAGGAAATGAGGAAAAAAGGAAAAACAGCTAAAGGGGAGAATTAACAACCAGATCGTGGGAGTTAAAGGGTTAAGGATGGGAGTGTGGGTGGAGAGAAACTTTATATTCAGTAGTCAAGTATGTGTGATGTACTATACAACTCTCTTGAGAAACATTGTTGGAAAAAAATGTAAAGGTGCATGCCTCATTCCAAAAGGTAATGTGGGTAGCTTTCAGGTGACTGTCCTTGCCCTCAGTATTTCAGGGAAATCTAAGAAACATCATGGTAAGGACAAGCCACTGAGGGGGTTTGATTAATTTGATTAGCAGATAACCAGGTTATCTTTTGAGATTGTGTGTGGAAAGAAGGCTTGTGGCCTGAGGCATCTGACATTTGGGATGGTATTTGGATGCATGGAAGCCCCCGAGTATCCTAGATAAAAAGGTGAAGTCTGTACTTGAACCTAATAGTGCATGGAGCCAGAACTTATCCTGCTTCTTCAGGCTTCTCAAACCCAGACCTCTTGACCAACAGTCCAGCCTAGCAACTATTAGCCTTGTAGTTCAAAGGTTGCATAAAGCTATCCAATGGATAAATTGCTATCCAGCAGATGAATGTTAACAAAACACATTACACTATCCACTGGATACAGATTTTCCCAGTAGATAGCATTTCCTCCCTTTGAACAATTGGGCTACCATGTCTCCCATGGGTACCCCAGGTAAGCTTGTTCTATTTGTGTAGTGAAAAGATTACAGACACTTCAATTAAGGGGACACCATCCATCAAGAAACACAAACATTTGTGATTCCTGAAATAAATATTCCCACAATCTTTGCATCTGTCACTAGCCCTGGAAAAAATCTCTGTTTTAGGGAGCACTTTTCCCAAGTCCTCACCTTAATTACACCTTCTTGCAGGAAAAAAAATAACTAAACCTCAGTATCAATCTTATGAATTGTTCAATCTTGTGAATTGTTAGAGAACCCATACATGAATAATTTCTATCAAACCAAAATCAACAATACTTACAATGTGCAAAGTCTTCCAGGCTTGATATGTTGTTAACACTAAAAAAAAAGTATGCTTGAAATCTAAAATTTCAAATGATCAAAGAGAAAGACCAGGCTAAGGAATGTCAATGCAGTGACAAAGACCTTTGGTTGAAAATTGCTTAGGGTTAGGGTTTAGTCTTCCAGGCTTGATATGTTTTTAACACTAAAAAAAAAAAAAGTATGCTTGAAACCTACAATTTCAAATGATCAAAGAGAAAGACCAGGCTAAGGAATGTCAATGCAGTGACAATTAGACCTTTGGTTGAAAATTTTAAATGACTGTGTATAAGAGTATTCACTTCCCAACACAAACCTTAAACTTAAAACTTCAACATTTGGCATCTGGCGTAAAACAGAAATCTGGAGGAGAAAAACAATGAAATTGTGTGTAAATAAGATTGAGACCAATAAAAATCTTATCCTTGTTGAAATATAAAGGAATTTTATATAATTATATAAAAAAAAATCACTGGGTTTTAATTATAGACATCTTCAATTATGTTCAGAATTTAAAACAAGGCAAGCAATCGCACTGTACTTACATCGCTCAAATCACTTCCCCTACAAGGAGAGAAAATATATATACGTGAAACTATGACAACAAAAATATAGCGTCATTTTCCTTCGATCTCGTTCTACGATAGAGGTGAAAAAAGTGTCGCTCGCTCACCAAAAATTAAGATTCTTCACATTTTCAAGAGAGGAGGCTCTGGCTCTTGACAAGATTTGCTGTTCTGTTAACCTAGACATGTTGTAATTGGCTACTGATGTCGTTTGTTTTTCCTAATTTGACTCCCGTTCTGCAAGCTTTCCGCCATTTTCTGCAAGGTTTAGAAAGCACTCCGCTGACCTTCGATCTCTCGTCGGAGATCTGTCGGAATTTTAGAAGCTTTACGAGAGCTCTCGGTAGAATTCCGGAAACCACGAAGAAAACGAATTTCCACGACTGCTGCTGTATTGACATGTAACCTGGCCAAGGTTTCGTTAACGCTGTTTTGGGATGAAAATTGCAAATTGGATTCAGCCATGTGATAGCCGTTGAACTTGATACACTCGCAAAATGTAGCATCGTCCAGGGACGTTTTGCTAACTTAGGCTCCTGGCTGAGGAAAATTTCTCAAGAAAAATATTTAACCTAGGAAACTTTGCACTAACTTTGCCCTGCGGAAATGGCGTGCCTCGGCGCTCTGATTTTATAGACACCTTCAGATCTAGACTTGAAGTTATGAGCGGGCTACTGGAAACTGGAAGTTCACCATCGGAAGTGGAAAGCTTAGACCTGGATGAAGTGAGTTTTTTAAAATGTCGTTCCACATATTAATATTACCCTAAGATACATCTCACGTTTAATTCGACCAATAGCTATACATGTATCTAAAACTTCACCAACACTATCAATATTACTCAAAATTACCCGCTCTTACTCCTGTTAACTAAAGCTCAACCACTATTATCAAGCTTGTCTTGTTTGAAAAAACTCCTTAATTACAATATTATGCAAGTGTTATCAGATATTTTTTTCCATTTAATCAAGACGTGGTGAGACTGCAAAATCAATTAGCTTTTGACAGTTTAATTATCTGTCTGGGCCCATTTGATTAAAGGGTAGACGAGGCTATCCAATGGAAAAATCACTTTCTGACAGAGAAGTGATAGAAAAACATGCTATGCTATCCGTGGGTAGGGTTATCCAATCTTGGAACAAGTCCGGGGCTTGGTATAAACAATAAATCATTCCATATTTTTGTAAGGGGGTTTATGTGGTTACTGGTTCCAAAGCCAGACATCAAGACCTCAGAGCACTATTACTGCTCCATCCTTTTGATGTATTAAAACTCCCTCTTTCTCTTTGGGTGTCAAATTATCAAACCTTCTTATGTCGTGTATAATGCAAGAGTTTCATGAAAATCCAGTTGCTGGTGGTCTACTACTGACTATTTAGCCTGTAAGCAGGCTCACTTGTTTGGGTTTTGCCTTAGGGTACTGGCACCTACCTCACCACTGGAAAAAAGTTATTGAAACCCATGTAATGAAATGCTTGGTGAGTTGGATGTTTTAAATGAACTTTTTTTCTCCTTTTATTTTTCATAGGATTCCAGCTTGGAGTCTGGTATTGTGAATGAGCTGATTGATGAGGCCATTGTCGGTGTTTGTTTAGACATTCATCGTTCCGTTAAACAAGGAGTGTACAGTGTCCTTGAGCAATCAGATGAAAAAATGTTAGTGTCATCTACTTTTGCCCTTACATATTTTGTTGTACACCGCTCACTTGTAATTTTAAGACAGTTAGTAGTTGAGGAGAGGTGCAAGGGCAGGATAGTCAGTGACTTTGGGTTAAGATGTTGGAGTGGTAGACCTTGCTGGGTCATTGTGTTGTGTTGTTGGGCAAAATGCTGTACTCTCAGAGTGCCTCTCTCCAACCAGGATTATGAATGGGTGGCGGCAAATTTTCAGGGAAGCCTGATAAAATGCTGGGGGATAACCTTGCAATGGACTAGCATCCCATCCAGGGGAGAGTAGTAATACTCCTAGTAACTTTATCCAACATGGAATCTGGGATAAGCTGTGGCTGGGTGGGCCAATAGGCTTGAGTACAGACTTCACCTTTACTTCAAGGTGTAATGTAATTAAAATCGTAACAATTGGTTTCTGAAACAGACAAGCAACAACAAGCAAATTAACTCCCAAGATGATATGCTTAATAACTAGATTTTGGCTGAACAAGATGATTGAAGACCATACTTCCTTGAATAAGCACCTGGGTGCTTGTTTAAAATTTTGGCAAAAGGGTTGTGGGGGGGAGGGGGAGGGGGGCATGCTTATCCAAGAGAGGGCTTTGATTAAAGCAAGGGCACTTATATGAGAAAAATATGGTATTCTGATAAAGGGAGTGGGACCAAGTGCATGAGGGGTACCACTAAAAATTACTTCCAACAGTTTGTTATTCACTGGTGAATAGAAAAGTAGACAGGGGTAAAGGGGCCTGTTGTCATAGGAAACAATTCTTCTTGTGTAAATTCTGAGAGGAATGAGAGGTTTCAAAAGGAAGCATTGTTTATGCAACTGTATCTGTTAGGTTGTGTGGTTAAAATACAGTGATTTGCTTATGAAATAGCTTTATATCTGGGATCTAAGAATGATTTGTGAGGATTTCAAGAAATGAAGAACAGTATGTGTATTCAATTAATGTATGATTAAATTTACTGTTACAGCTCTAAAAGAATTCTGTTAGCTCAAGTTCCTTATTCGATAACTTGCTGAATGCTAAATGTTTTCATATTTACTTTGCTTTTCATGTTCTTTCTGTGATCAGTATGAAACAGTTTGGTAAGTATTCTAACTTGGAAACTGCTTCTTGTTCAAGTTTTTTGTGGCTTTTTTTAGTCCTCAATGTCATGTTACAATAAAACACAAAGTGTAATTATTCTTATCTATACAAAAGTAGCCTACTGGAAAACAATTTAACAGAGCACTTCTCATTTATTACTTTTCTCAGTAATAATATTAATAACTGTCTGGTGTTGACCTTATATTATCTTTTTACTTGTCCTTGGTTGACTAAAGTGTGGATAAGGCTATCCACTTGATAAAGGGGTAAGTTTTTAGAGAAATTGTGGTGCTAGATCAGTGGGGAGTATAACAGGGTCATTTAGGATTATCGACTTAGTTGATAAAGAAAACTGGCCACTATAAGGGGTTTTAAAGCTGATGTTTCAAGTGTTAGCCCATTTGCCATTTCTCTGATGAAGGTTTAATGCTTGAAATGTCAGCTTTTAAACTCTTTATGGTGGCATATTTATGTTATCAACTCAGTTGATAATACTAAATTACCCTATCTGCTGGATAAATCTCTGTGATGTAGATAGGGCAGTACATTTTGGTGACACTCATTCCCTGGAAAGTGATTTATCTGTTGGATAGCATTATCTGCCCTTTGAACAAGTCAGCCCTGTTGTTCAAGATGTGATGCCTCTTTTCTTCTCTTATATGTGTATTGTTTTGTTTTAACCCTTGAACTCCCAGAAGTGATTGACATGTAACTTCTCCCTATTATATCCATACTTTATCCAGCAAAGAGATAATGAGAATTCTCAAACTTATCAGGTAGATATTGTTGTCTTGATCTTACACCAAATTCTCATAACTAATTTACAGGGAAATGTGTAGCAGCTAGAGGGGAGAAATAACAATCAGATCTTGGGAGTTATAGGGTTAATACATAGAAAAGTATGATTTGACTGAAAGGGCTTCTAACTAAATTATTTGATTCAAGGGTGATATTGTTAGGAGAAATTGTAGGCCAATCAATCTTAAGGTGTCTACTGTACAATTTAATGATGATAGTTTGGAGAATTTTGTTGTGGATCAACTAATAATCCTTTAATTGATATTTTTCTTTGTTTTCATCACATCTGCCTGATGTTGTAATGCTATGGTGACAAGAAATTCTTTCTTGGTCACTCATGGGAATTAAGTCCCCTTTTTTTTATTCATTATCTCAGAAGTGGTGGACCGTGATGGTCTGGATGTGTTTGGGCAGGGACCATTAAAGAAACAGGTTGAGTGCATTTGTCCCAGCTGTCAGAGGAACATGGCTGCTAACAGATTTGCCCCTCACCTAGAAAAATGCCTAGGAATGGGTCGTAACAGCAGCCGACTGGCCAGTAGGAGGTTGTATGAATGAATTATTCAATTATCTTATTTAAATTTGTTATTTGAACACTGCATACTGCTCAAATTAGTTCAGTTGGTACAAAATTATTCCTTATTTTAGGTAATGGAAATTTCTGTTGGAACTAATTTTTGGGATTTTCTGTGTAAGTCTCTGAACAACGAAGGAAAGAAACTGAATTTAGAAAATGGTTATACAATTTTTTAGTGGTAATTTTCAAACTAGCAAAGAAATGTTCTACCACAGATAATTTGGAGAGTGATGGATATTTCCAATGAGTTGGAATGCAAGGTTTTGTAGTAGGATTTTTTTAACCATTTGACAGAGAGAAGAAAATACATGAATTTCTGGTCATTTTTTTGTGGTAGTATTTTCTGCTGAAACTTAAATCTGCTGAGCAAGAACAATTTGCAAAATCTGAAAAAAAAATTCTTTTATTTGGCTTGTAAACTGTCTCATTAAGAGAACCTGTAGTATAAGGGTACTGTTTGCAAATTTAGATGGATTCACCTGTGAAAAACAACCAGCATTCTATTCAAGGTTTTGTTTGCAGTGCATGAAATGGGACCATTAGAGGTCAAAGTTTTGACACATATATTAATTTACAGGACTTGTCCATAAAAATGGTCACTGATTAATAAGATTTAAGTTTAAGTTTCCCATCTTGCATCAATTTGCCAGGCTTGCAACCACAGGCAAACTGATTGATGGAGATGATGATGATGACAACTACTTTGACGATGACTGGACTTGGAATTCAGACAGAAAACCAGGTTTGTTGGGACTTGTTTCCACTTCTTTGAGGCATATATTGGTTACCTTTTTTAGTATTCAAGTACAATGAACATGCTGCTTTTCACAAATGTAACGAGTTTTCAAGGGTTAACAAGAAAAAATTTTTTTTTCACTTTGCAGGAAAGAAGAATAAGAGAGACAGGGTAAGCTTTCAAATGGTAATGACTTTTTAAGCAGCTAAGTAAATGGAATTTATTATTTTTATTATATATTATATTATTATTTAGCAAATTCAAATTCAAGGTATGTGTTTCATAACACATGAAAAGCTAACGAGGAGTGGATGGGTTTTTCCATTTTTAATCATAACTTAATCCTTTAACTCGGGTAGTAACCATTTAACCCTTAATTCCCAAGATCTAATTGTTAATTCTCCCTTCTAAATGTTACACATTTCCTTGTAAATAAGTCATGAGAATTTCACGTTAAATCAAGATAACATCTTCCACCTGATTAGCTTGAGTCTTCTCTTTACCTGTTTGCTGGATAATGTATGAATATTGAAGGGAGAAGTAACATGTTAATCACTCCTGGGAGTTGAAGGGTTAAAAGAGGCCACCCCTTCCTTTCCTACATTTCACTCTCATAAGTGATTAACATGTAACCTCTCCCTATAACATCCACACATTATCCAGCCAATATGTAATGAGAATACTCAAACTTATCAGGTACAAGTGAGTAGTCTTGATCTACCACCAAATTCTCCTGACTTATTTACAAGGAAATGTGTAACAGATAGAAAGGAGAATTAACAATCAGATCTTGGGAATTAAGGGTTAAATGGTTACTACCCAAGTCTCACTTTATTGCTATCAAAATTGTTCTGTCTTTCAAGGGAAATTCACCCAGGAGAGCAAAAGCCCCTAGGAAGAATGGTATGTGAAATAATTACTAATTTTAAGTTCAGTTTGTGGCTCTGTTGCGCATTTAAAAAAAATTCAAGGTAGAGTCTTGCTCATTGACTTGTATCACTTCAGTTGAGTTTTTTCTTTATTTTTTTTGGTCTTAAGGTGAAGCTGGTACACCACGTCCAGGCACGCCTAGTTCTGTTCACAGTGGCGAATTACCAGCAACGAGGGTAAAATTCAGCTTATTTATGTTGCAATACTGTGTAGAATATTTTGAGTAAAGCAGGAAATAATTTTTTGAAAGTTTAATATGTTGATTCAGTTTTTGTATTTTGTAGACTGGACTCACTGTGGCTGCCTTTGAACCCCTTGGAAATGGTGTGTACAGTAATTAGGGATAGATTATGGGCTCTAGGTTTCAGTTGCATGTTCACTGATGAGGGATACGCTATGATAAACTATCACACATTGAAATCTCATGATTTATGGGGGTTATCCTCAGTTTACCCCTCTCCCCCTTGGTAATTTTGCAAGACTCCCCCTGGCAGTTCATCAGTGCCCATTCTCCACTCAGGAATGTACCCCTGGGTGGAAAATTGCACTCAGAGAAAGAAGATTTTTTTCCAATCAACACAACAAAATCATTCAGCCAGTGCTTGTATGTGTGCCTATGGGTCCAGTGGTCAGAATGCTAGCCATTACACACTTAGTTATTTTTCTCCCATGACTGCAAAAGAAGCTGACCAAATTTTGGTGGTGATTGCTACATTTTGAATGAGCTGACAATGTCTTTCCCAATAATTTGGAAAAGTTGTGTTTGTCTTTATGATAACATAAACTGTTTCGATTATATTTTTCAGAGGAGAAGAAGAGCCTTCTTTCCCAGGTGTGTACATTTACCTTAGGAAATTCAAGTTATTTCACGCACTACCTGTGCCTTACCTTTCTCTAAACATCAATAAGTTATATTTGATGTAATTATTTTCAAAACATTACCTTACAATACAGAGCAAAATGACACAACATCACCAACTTTAGTATAGTACGTACAATGTGTTTTCAGTAATACATTACTTACAATAAGGATTTATTTTTCAAACAGCTTTCAATCCAAGTACAATACTGCTTACATGGTAATACTTACAGGTCTAACTTGATGATACTAAAACCTTCCTTCAGAAGAATGTATACATGGATAATCTTCCTCTAACTCGATCTTTGTTTCGTTATTATGTAACTATTTGTTTTGCAGACGTGTGGTGTAATATCAGAACATACAGCACGCATGTGCACAAGGTAAATTTATTTTTTATGAGATTGTATTACAAATGAAAGACTTGAAACAAAGTGCTATGTTTGGTCTATAGTAGTTTTTGAACTTGCCGAAGAGAGAGTGTTTGTTTGGCATCAGAGAGGAGAGAAGTACCAAAATTTCAATAACATGAACTATTGTTTATACAGATGTCCGGGGAGAACATTCCATGTGCTTCTACACTATTCTCTTCTTTGTTCATTTCCTGGCAAAAAGTTACAAGAAGCTGTAGTTGATTTTTGGCATGTGTCTAATTTTTATGGAGAGACGAACATCCATCTTAAATTAATTCTTATTGTTAGTTTCTGCCTTGTTTTGGAGGAATAATATTCCCCAAAAACTTATAATTGCAGTCTTTTTTATGCAAAGAATCTCGAACCTTCTTTTACACTCGTTAATCCTATTTATTGATCTATAATGTTTATCTTTGTTGCAATGTTCTCTTAGATCTCATCGATGTCCGCAGCATTCAGATGAACAGAGACAGAATGTCCGTCTACGACTTTTAGGTACTAAATACGTGTGCAATGATATGCTGTTTTTCTCAACACTTGCCTCACTTCTGAAATCAAGAAATGCTGTTATGAGAAATGACGTCTTTACAGATGTGGTGAAATTGTATTTTAACAGAGGAAAAATAATTGATCACCGAGCTAAGTGCATAGCCCCACTAAGCCTGCGAGTTGGTCAGCGTTATAAGCATTTCGGCACGAGTCCTTGAGCAGCGTGAGCCGGCGAGAGGTCATTAGTGCCAGACCCCAGGCAAACCTCTCCTCGACTTGCCTTAAATCTTCCCGCGAGAGGGGAAACGCGTGTCCTGCGTGTCGCCAAGTTTTGCTCTATTAAACTGTTATATGGTGATCTCTATTTCGTATATGTTTTTGGACACCTTTTTTAATTGAAATGAAACTTTCAAAAGTTGGAAAAGAAATATCTCGTAGCATGATGGTTACTAGACGTTTGATTTTGTTTTCGTGCAGGTTATGCAGAATTTGAACCCATTGTAGGAAGGTGAGGACGCAGTGGGTATAACGACACATCCCTATGTAATTATAGCTCTCTAAATTTGATAACTTGAAGAAATTTAAACTGGCACTCGCTGCCTCAAACTCCTCCTAGAGTCGTATGGTCTTTTGGCATAGTTTTACTTTTGTATGTCGATGTAATTTTTGTCACTTTGAAATTCTATTACGAAACTAATTTAGTACCTATTTGTCCCTTCTTTCTTTTGTATTTACATATCTCTATTTGTCCAGGAGTTCACTGGAAGCTGATGATGTGATTGGTAAGTATTTATCTTCACATATGGAAAAAGTTTGTTTTACAAGACCGTCTTAATATTTTTTGCGCTCAGTCATCCTTCTACTTCTTGTTTGTAGGTTCGAATTTAGTCCTAAACAACCACTTATAATTGTCAGGTGACGTGCTTTCAGGCTGTCAGAACCTAGTTCTCTTGCAGAAGTTATAAAAGAAAATAAAAGAAACCACACCGTTTGACAGCGGTGTGGTTTCTTTTATTTTCTGTGCAATTTGGCGCGCGGCTGGAAAACATGTCAGGGTCCTTTGCCAAATTTGTACCACGTGCGAAAAAATTTTTCCAATAGTCAGGTTACTCTTTGGAACCTCCAAACGCGGTCTGTGACATAAGTTCGTATGCCTTTTGAGGGAGGGGGTGGGGGGCAAAATGAAGTTGAACTAAAGTTTGGTGAAATAGCCCCTTGTAACTTGCGTCATAAACATAACTTATTTCTTTTTGTACTAACAGATGTTGACAGCTATGAGGATGGTGATGGACAAGCCTTGAGAGATACTTTGAACAGGTTTAACTCTTTGAATTTCCACCGATTAAGTCGAGGTGGTCTGATACACATTTACAACATACATTTCTGGAGCTTGTACTGATAAAAGTTTTGTGTACGCTGAACAAATTCTCTATTTTCATTTAAAGGTTATCATGGGAGGAAGAATCGAATGTTTCGACAGGCGACGACAACTCACCCGCTGGTAAGACTTTTTACAATTTCGTCCCGTTTGAGTAATAATCGTATTCAAAAAATTCCCTCTGTTTGTTTCTTAGCATTTGGAAGCGTACCTCTTTCGAAAAAGAAAAGAAAGAAAAAAGCAAAACACAAAAGACGTCCCAGATGAACTCACGAAACTCGAGGCCGGTTATCAGTTCAAGACAAGTGTCACGGGCGAGACTTAAGGTTACACCAGCGAGCGCTAGGTGCTGTTTTTTGGATTAGTACGCGCATTTAATTTGTTGCAGTGATTCTGAATTCTGACTGATGAGCCATTGGCAAAGCAAGCTTGGAGGCACCTGTTAGTTTTGGTCGGCCTTTCAACCGTTGGATTTGAATAAGACTTGCGTTTGGTTGCAACGTCTTTTCACGTTTTCTTGTGGCCTTTTACGTAAGTGAGTAAAAAGGTACTAGCAGCACCTACAGTGGTTTGTGGAACATGATTCTTAATCGGTTTTCGATGTAACTGGCTTTTTTATTGACAGACGTGGGCTCTTTCCTGAATGTGAATTCTCACCAACTATTTTGGGAAACTCAAAACCGGAAGTAATAAGTTGCGTCACTTTGAGCGCGATAAGGGACTTTCTTTCATCGAGAAAACCTGGAAATAACTTTCCAAGAGTTGAGAGACACTAGAAAAGATGAGCTTATCCCATTAAGGAACAAGGATTTTAATGCATGGCGAAGATTAGCACGGATTTAAAATGACAAACCCTAGAGATTGGACAAACAGTATGGCGCTTTAGTATAGCGCTTTTCGGTGGAGTGTCGTTCGCAAGACCAAACCCCAAATTAAAATAATCTCAACAGCCAATCACAACAAAGTAGAATATCACAAGGAGCCAATTAGAGCTTGCGCTCAAACGCACACGAGCAAAACTGCTTGTAGCGCGGGAAAACGCCAATGACCGAGTCACGGTTGGTATCAGTTTTCTATCTGATTGGTTTAAGAGGGCGGCGCGAGGTTTAGAACGCTTTTCGATTGAGTGTCGTCAAACTAAAACCAAAGCAACCACAACGGCCAATTAGAGGAAAAGATAATACCTTTAAGAGTTAGTGAAAACTGAAAGTAAAAACTGCCTGAAACGCTGGCGACCAAGTCGTGATTGGTCTTAGTTTTGCACTGCAAAACCGAAGCAAACGCAGATTACACACGACACTTCATTTAAAATGGCGCGATTGCCCGGTACGACTGCACATAAACAGTGAGTGCAGGATTATTTTTGTCAAGGAGATAACAGTGCTCTCAATACAGACGCGGTCAACTTCAACTTGATTCTAACATTAACTGCTGTACTAGAAAAAGCATTGGTACGTAAAGCCTTGTAATGTCGCAATTGTGGCTGAGTAAGTTATTGACGAATTGCCTCTGTGAGTGCAAGTTTGATAAGCAGCTTGAAAATAAAATTAGCATTAGAATTTGGAAACTAGCTTTTAGTCTTTAGAAACTACGTGTATATTGGTTTTTCTTTTAGAACGATCAGTCTTTTTAAATTTAGTTGTTATTTCTTGGACTGGGAGGTATTTGTCTTGACTGTTGTCTTCTTCTTCATTTCTTTCTTGGTTGATTTTTCCCGAGTATTTCCAACCTTTTCTCCTTGGCATTTGGGCTGAAATCAGAAGAAATGTAGCTTCTGAGAAGAATTTCTTATAAGAACATGGAGACTCTAGAAATACTCCTCCCCCCTTTCCTCAGAGAGACACAAGCGCTTTTTGAAGCGGGGGGGGGACCTTAAAATTCAGTTTTCCCTACACCCTCTCCGACACGTTTCACTGACCGCACGCATCGTTGCCCTAATTTATAGTACCGAGTGAGTGATACTCGTCTCGTGTCTGCATTGTTTGCCTTTAGATTAAGGCAAACGTTTTTCTAAATTAGAAGATTATCCCTGAGAAAACATTTGGTAAATCGGCTCGAAAGAGGTAGCCGATAATGATATCTGAGGAATGCCTTGGCTTTTACAAATTTGAGTGAACTACCTGTCTCTGTTGTGAAACTGTCTCGTAATCGAAATAAGCGGCCGTACATGATTATTTTTCTCCAAGTTTAATATAAGCGTGGAACAAGAAGCTTCTAAACTTTTTTGTTCATTTCGTATACATTTCTGACAAGTTAATTAAACATACCTGGAAACAAACTCTGCAAACTGACGTAGCGGTCATAACACCATGAAAATCTCCCCTTCCACACGCCTTACAATAATTCGTTCCGCAAAACTTGCATTTAAATATCTTGAATAAAACGAGAAAATTCTCTCGTCAATAGCAAACAATGAGCGGTTTGCAAGGCTTGTGGCTAAGGTAAACCCGGCCCGCGTGTTACGCGCGCGCTACATTTTTACTTCCCTATGAGTGGGAATAGGAGCTGATTGGAGAAGGATAACTTCTGTTTTTGGCCCCCAACTCGTTCTTGCGCCCAGCTCTTATTTTCGTTTTAATTCCCGAGGCTTCTTGACGATCTCAGTATATCTGCAACATGTTTACCTTTTGTAACTTACGTAAACGAATGTTATTCATTACAAATTAAATCAATCTTGCTCTGGAGTTTTCTAAACTCTCAAAACTTCTAAACGTTCCGAAGTAAACAGGCAGAGCCGAGTAATAACTTCGCATTGCTACAAATGCATTTACCCACCATATCATTTTCACGGCAACCCCATCGACACATGGTAAACGTGCGAAGCAATATTGATCCAACTTCAGAATTTCCTGTATAAGTAGCTTCGCTTATCTCTTTCAAATGTTAATCAAAAATGTAAACATACCACAGTAAAGTTACGCAACTTAGCACACCAATACAGCATGTAAAGTCCCAGTCAGATCAATTTTGCGCGACAAGGAAAAAACAGCATTGATTTTGTCTTGTTTGTCTTGTTTGGCTGCAAATAATTTGAAAGCATTTTGCTTCATTCGCGGTTTGTTTACACTTGTCGATTGTGATGCAAATATTCATTTGTCGCTTTTTTTAGCTCTCTCTCCAGATTTTTTTTTCTTACGGCATGGCCTACCGTAATCATCGTGACAGTTCATTTGTCGTAGGTGAGATAGATCTTGACAAGTCCTTCGAGACAAATCTAATTCCCCAAGGTCCTCTCAGTAACTCTCCCAAATGAGTGCTAGAGGTCGAATCTCTCGGGCTGAAATGAGGATTTGAGGATTTGAGGATTCGGAACGGATTTCGCGGTCTGCAGTCGTTTATGAGCTACACCATGTACTATAAATAAGCAATTATTGGATGAGGTTGAGCAGGATATCATGAATCATCCATGCCGAGGGCTGAGTTATCTGCCGAAGCCTTCGGCTTTTCATTGTAAATCTAATGTATAATAACGTATGTTGGCTCAACACTTGGCACATAAAAGAAAATAACGTGCCATACCATAATCTTTTGATTTCAGGAGCTCTTTAAATCGATTTCACATGTGGGTCAAACGTCTTAACAGTCCTAAGAAGAGAGATAATTTGCAATGATGCAATGCGTGAAGGACATTTAAGTTCAAAGTGCTATCACTGATTTCATGACTATTTTCACAAGTGGTTTCCATGTATATGGAAGCCATTGCCGTCCTGACAATAACTCATATGCAGGGTTACCTCCCCCCCCCCCAACCAGTACCGCAATAGGTGAGACACTATGAAGCTTACAGTATCTTGACCAAGAACAAGATGCAATGCTCCAACGCTAGAGACTAAAACTGGACTGCTTAATGTTGAATCCAGTGCACAACCATTCAGCCACCATGCCTCCTCCTCTGATCCTTATGATTGGAGTGGAGTGGACAGGTTCAATTGGGAAGGGTGGAACACTTAAAACATTGCGTAACCAATAGCAACCAAGAGAAACTTAAGGCGACTTTAGGCGACTTAAGGTCTCAGAGTAGGCCTGATTTCAGAGGTTATTGTCAGTTGTATTTGAATGGTTTAGCCTAGGTGACCGTCAGTCAATACAGGTGGAGGACAAACTGACAAACTGGCCGTTGAGACTAAACAAGTGCTGCCACGATTGCGCTTAAACTTGTTCCCGTGTACAGGGGTCGGTGCGAAAAACTGGCTTTGCAAATAAAATAATGATTTCATACAACGTGGTGAATGTCGGAGGGGCGTGGTCGTCAACGCTCACCTCAGATAGAAGAAATGATTTAATTAAAATCATGATAGAAAGAGGCTCAATTAAATTTATATTTTCACCTTCATAGCCGTCGTTCCTCTTGGCTTTTAAAAGTAGAAACTGTTTGGGTTGGTTTTCCTTCATTACGCAAGATTGTTGAACTTTACTATCGCTAGAAATTCTGTCAGTGATGGTTAAAACCGAAGATTCATTCTGATCACTACGGAAAGCCAAGCCGGACGTGCAGTTTGCTTGAAGCTTTCCACGAGTAAGAGGGAGGCCTGAGAGTAAAGATTATGACAGAAGCATAGTCAAAAGCATCTTGGAAGATTCAGGCATTATTCCAGGTCGGATATAAATATTGTGACCGCTTCGGAGGAATAAACGTGACCTGAATGCTAATCGAGGATACTGACCAGTAGTGATCTGTTAAGTGATAATTTATATGTGGTGATACGTTTTTGTAGCTGGAGAATCTGAGAAAAATTTTTTAAACTTAATTACCATCTGACACTTCATTTTACTTTAAAAAGACATATCAACTCTAAAGAATAGAGTTTTCTCAAATGATCATGTTACGTTTGATGTTTTTAAAGGAAACTCTAAAGAATAAAGCTCTCTCAAATTATGTGTTTCAGTTGATGCTTTTATCATGGGAAACGAATGATGTCTGAGTGAAATACAACGATTTATAGTTGAGTGAGGCGCGACGGAGGTTTGGTAAACACGTTTTCAAAATCGTGTTGTTGTCACGGGTAATTGGTTCCGTTTCCAGCGGCAACGTGTCCTTTTACCTCTTATAGCCGTCTTTAACGGTTGGCGATGCACGGTTCTTAAGCTTTGGTTACCATTGGAAAACGAATTGGGTAGTTCAATAAACCTCAGGAATGATCAAAGGTCACTCTTCTAATCAAGCAATATGGAGGCAAACTGATGACTCTCTTCCAAGATTGTGCTTAGCGCAGCGGCACGTGGGTCGTGTCGTGTAACTCGCGCGTGTCCTCGCTGAGCGCGAGTGCGTGAAACCGGCGCGCACGATCCAGGAGTACCTTGTTGTTTATAATGCATGCTGCACTTAATCAGCGGTCTACTTCTTCAAGTCGTCGGCAAACATTGGAAATTTTCCAGGTTTATGTGTCCAGTGCGCGGGATTACAACTATTTTACACCATTTCCAACCTGCTGCCGAGTCATGAGCAAGCAGCAAGCAGGTAGCATTAAAATAAAGCCTAAACGACTTTCGATACGGCGTACAGCGCGCTCGCCAAACCGAATGGGCTCCGAAAGATTACGCCATGACGCGTTTGACCAAGATCGAGAGACCTCTCTTCCACCAGAAGTTCGTTCAAGATTATGGACACTCTTTGCTCAGATTGAAAGAGAATTTGAGTGCCTACACGCTGAAAACATTGCCTGTAAGTGAATCATGTCTTCTTCCGATGCATGCACTCTGTAGTTTATATAAACTTAGCACTTTAACTCTCAACCTATTGTTATTCATTAGCGCGCTAATCCGAAAACCTCTTCTTCTCATTCTGCGTCCGTCTCAGTGAGGGTATTTTTAATGAAAACTTCCTGTTGTTTGACCCACCAGTGAACCAAGTTCTCCTCTATTGAGTTAAATGTTCTTGCTGTTTTGTTAAGATTGTGAACTTTCACTTTTTAAAATTTTGTTATTCAATGTAAAATTAAGATGCGAAATGCATTCGTTTCATCTTGCCAAGAGAATTAAAAATATTGTTCTGTTTCACAGTGAAGCATGCTATATTTTATTCTCCTATGTGAAACTGAAACGCGAGGAGTATCCAATTTTTATTTAAGCGCAGATACAACGGATTCATCTTCTTTAAGAATCCTATTCCTTTGCTTTTGTGATTAACATGTCATTTTTTAACTTACCTAATGTAAATTACTGTTACTGTTTTCAGTTGATAAGTTTAATACTCATACTCTTAAAAGTGTTTGAATTGAGTAATTTCAAGCTGTTAAAAATTTCTCTGCTATTCTTTTAATGGAAATTGAATTTAAGAAATGGCAAATGCAGATTCCTTGTCACATTTTGCACTTTTTGTATTCAGTGGACTTAGAGAAGGTAAAGGGAAAAAACTCTGTAAATATTATGTGAATTAATTATTAATCAATATTTGGTAACCTAACAGGTAACCAAATTTCAATATTTTAAGTCAAGTGCAAAATAGCTGATATAAAATATACTGTTCCATGGAACAAACCTCTCAAATTCTTTAATTTTCCTCAAACTAGTGCACCTAAGTCTTCTATTTAAAATTGTTGATTCAAAAATACACATGTACAGATGAGGTTGTTATTCATGAATTTTGTTAAGTGCCTAGGTGAACATAACCACATACAAACATGTAATTTGAATCAACGTTGGCAATATTATAACGAAATACAGCTTTAGCTAATAGTATTGTAATTTTAGAGGAGTCGACCATTTTTAATGTAGCTACCAGTAGTTATTTTGACTTTGAATGAAGATTAGAAATCAATATGATTCTGTATTTGGTGCAGGAAACCTTGAAAGGACAAATGCAAATCATTTGTGTGTTTAACTGCTTGGTCACTGTCCTGTAATGTCCAGAAATGCATGCAGTAGTGAAAATGGCAAAATTTTGTCAAAATCTTCTAATTGGCCAAGCTGATTTCGTTCTGATGAATTTGACTAAAATTGGTCAAAATCATCAATTTTCTGCCTAGCTGATTTTGCTTCGACAAAATTTAACTAAAATTTGCCAAAATTGTAAAATCTATAAACATTCACTCACTTTGACAAATCTGCCATTTTTGTTACTGCATGCATTTTTGGACATAAGTGATGGCCTCCCATTATGATCAAATTGATACAGGCTGGCTAAAGTCTTGTAAAATGAGTTTGAATTGAAACAGGGGTCTATTTGTCGCGTTGCTTACAACAATAACACAGATACAATTCTGTGCTGATAGTGAGAGAGCACATTTATCATATTTGATATTGTTTGAACCCACCTGCTTACTTTTGAAATTGATTTACCTTGCATCTTGATTTACCTCCTCCTTTTAAAATGAAAATCTATTATAAGTGAAAATGATCCATGGTTGTTACTAAACACAGACTGCCAGCAAACTTTTGGTTGCAATTGCTTGGCAAAGTACAGCAGGCTCTTCTGAGGATACGGTATGCACTTACAACATTTGTTTTAGATCAAATGTTATCTCGGAGTGGCATCAAATGAAATTTCAGCCTGCAGCCTAATTTCTCAGATACAACCCTTATGATCCAGTAAATATTTTTGTTCAGATTTAAAACATTGAAAGAAGACTTTTGGAAATGCATTACAGAAAAAGTAGAGGTCACATTATCACAAGGAATCATCTTAACATTAATATTTCAACTTTAAGTGCAACAGGGTCTGCAAACATCTCTGGAGCAGATAAGAGCTAGTAATTTTATCACATACACAAAACCAGGTGTTCCTTTGTAGACATCTATGGAATATTTGGGTAAAATAGAAAAATACATATGTAATATGTGCTTTTATAGACCAGCTGTCTTGACTAACC